ACTGTATCAACGAATTCAGTTATCCCGGCCATGCAATCTACTGTTTATGAATTGTATTATAAATAAATGTTGGCAGTAGCGTTGAATTAGTGCGCTTTCTCAAGGATATGGATAATTCAGTGCTCTCATACTTATCTACAAGCAAAAGACATCTGGAATTCAACGCGGTGAAAAGATCATTAGTGCCTGCATGAATTTCAAAATAAGTTCAATTTTTTTTAAAAACATTCATGTATGAGGCCGCATTTCTTGTAGCCAGTTTTTTGGTCGCTTTTTGCTTTGATTTCAGCCGGTTTCCTACTAATAACATTTTCTAAATTTTGAAAAATATCCATAAAATTTGAAAATGGTTCGGAATTTCAATAAACGTTCAGATTTTTAAAAAAAATACCCATGTCCGAGGCCTCATCTGGCACGAGGGGATTGCAATACGCTATTTAATTCGGGATGGGATGGAATTAAATCCTTCCCCGTCCCTAATCCCTAATCCCCAATAGTTATTTGGAATAAAACTACACCAGCAGTCCTGCACTCAGATAGAACAAACTAAGGATGTCGTGTGGACTCCACGTCCATCATCATAATAATAAACTCAATACAGGACTAATGCACAAGACATTTTTTTGGGTATTTTCTCCTCAAGAAGAGCGCTGCTGGAGATGTTGCGCTCAATTTGCATGGACTATTACAGTGTAATAAATCACGCCGGCTAGGGAGTTCAATTTGAACATATGCTCAAATTGGAGGAAAAATGTAACAAACTTTTCACTATATGAACGAATTCAGTTATCCCGGCCATCCAATGTACTGTATATGAGTTGTATTATAAATAAATGTTGGCAGTAGCATTGAATTAGTGCGCTTTCTCAAGGATATGGATAATTCAGTGCTCTCATACTTATCTACAAGCAAAAGACATTTCTAATTCAACGCGGTGAAAAGATCATTAGTGCCTGCATGAATTTCAAAATATGTTCAGAAAATTTTAAAAATATTCATGTATGAGGCCGCATTTCTTGTAGTCAGTTTTTTGGTCGCTTTTTGCTTTGATTTCAGCCGGTTTCCTACTAATAACATTTTCTAAATTTTAAAAAATATTCATAAAATTTGAAAATGGTTCTGAATTTGAATAAATGTTCAGAATTTTTTTAAAAATACCCATGTCCGAGGCCTCATCTGGCACGAGGGGATTGCAATATGCTATTTGATTCGGGATGGGATGGCATTAAATCCTTCCCCGTCCCTAATCCCTAATCCCCAATAGTTATTTGGAATAAAACTACATTAGCAGTCCTGCACTCGGATAGAACAAACTAAGGATGTCGTGTGGACTGCACGTCCATCATCGTAATAATAAACTCAATACAGGACTAATACACAAGACATTTTTTTTGGTATTTTCTCCTCAAGAAGAGCGCTGCTGGAGATGTTGCGCTCAATTTGGATGGACTATTACAGTGTAATAAATCACGCCGGCTGGGGAGTTCAATTTGAACATATGCTCAAATTGGAGGAAAAATGTGACAAACTTTTCACTGTATCAATGAATTCAGTTATCACGGCCATGCAATCTACTGTTTATGAGTTGTATTATAAATAAATGTTGGCAGTAGCATTGAATTAGTGCGCTTTCTCAAGGATATGGATAATTCAGTGCTCTCATACTTATCTACAAGCAAAAGACATTTGGAATTCAACACGGTGAAAAGATCATTAGTGCCTGCATGAATTTCAAAATATGTTCAGAAAATTTTAAAAACATTCATGTATGAGGCCGCATTTCTTGTAGTCAGTTTTTTGGTCGCTTTTTGCTTTGATTTCAGCCGGTTTCCTACTAATAACATTTTCTAAATTTTGAAAAATATTCTTAAAATTTGAAAATGGTTCTGAATTTCAATAAATGTTCAGAATTTTTTTAAAAATACCCAGGTCCGAGGCCTCATCTGGCACGAGGGGATTGCAATACGCTATTTGATTCGGGATGGGATGGGATTAAATACTTCCCCGTCCCTAATCCCTAATCCCCAATAGTTATATGGAATAAAACTACACCAGCAGTCCTGCACTCAGATAGAACAAACTAAGGATGTCGTGTGGACTGCACGTCCATCATTGTAATAATAAACTCAATACAGGACTAATACACAAGACATTTTTTTTGGTATTTTCTCCTCAAGAAGAGCGCTGCTGGAGATGTTGCGCTCAATTTGGATGGAGTATTACAGTGTAATAAATCACGCCGGCTGGGGAGTTCAATTTGAACATATGCTCAAATTGGAGGAAAAATGTAACAAACTTTTCACTGTATCAACGAATTCAGATATCCCAGCCATGCAATGAACTGTTTATGAGTTGTATTATAAATAAATGTTGGCAGTAGTGTTGAATTAGTGCACTTTCTCAAGGATATGGATAATTCAGTGCTCTCATACTTATCTACAAGCAAAAGACATTTGGAATTGAACGCGGTGAAAAGATCATTAGTGCTTGCATGAATTTCAAAATATGTTCAGAAAATTTTAAAAATATTCATGTAAGAGGCCGCATTTCTTGTAGTCGGTTTTTTGGTTGCTTTTTGCTTTGATTTCAGCCGGTTTCCTACTAATAACATTTTCTAAATTTTGAAAAATATTCATAAAATTTGAAAATGGTTCTGAATTTCAATAAATATTCAGAATTTTTGAAAAAATACCCATGTTCGAGGCCTCATCTGGCACGAGGGGATTGCAAAACGCTATTTGATTCGGGATGGGATGGGATTAAATCCTTTCCTGTCCCTAATCCCTAATCCCCAATAGTTATTTGGAATAAAACTACACCAGCAGTCCTGCACTCAGATAGAACAAACTAAGGATGTCGTGTGGACTGCACGTCCATCATGGTAATGATAAACTCAATACAAGACTAATGCACAAGACATTTTCTTTGGGTATTTTCTCCTTAAGAAGAGCATTGCTGGAGATGTTGCGCTCAATTTGCATGGACTATTACAGTGTAATAAATCACGCCGGCTGGGGAGTTCAATTTGAACATATGCTCAAATTGGAGGGAAAATGTAACAAATTTTTCACTGTATCAACGAATTCAGTTATCCCGGCCATCCAATGTACTGTTTATGAGTTGTATTATAAATAAATGTTGGCAGTAGCATTGAATTAGTGCGCTTTCTCAAGGATATGGATAATTCAGCGCTCTCATACTTATCTACAAGCAAAAGACATTTGGAATTCAGCGCGGTAAAAAGATCATTAGTGCCTGCATGAATTTCAAAATATGTTCAGAATTTTTTTAAAATATTCATGTATGAGGCCGCATTTCTTGTAGTCAGTTTTTTGGTCGCTTTTAGCTTTGATTTCAGCCGGTTTCCTATTAATAACATTTTCTATTTTGAAAATTATTCATCAAATTTGACAATGGTTCTGAATTCAATAAATGTTCAGATTTTTTTAAATATCCATATCCGAGGCCTCATCTGGCACGAGGGGATTGCAAAACGCTATTTGATTCGGGATGGGATGGGATTAAATCCTTTCCCGTCCCTAATCCCTAATCCCCAATAGTTATTTGGAATAAAACTACACCAGCAGTCCTGCACTCAGATAGACAAACTAAGGATGTCGTGTGGACTGCACGTCCATCATCGTAATAATAAACTCAATACAGGACTAATGCACAAGACATTTTTTGGGTATTTTCTCCTCAAGAAGAGCGCTGCTGGAGATGTTGCGCTCAATTTGCATGGACTATTACAGTGTAATAAATCACTCCGGCTGGGAGTTCAATTTGAACATACGCTCAAATTGGAGGAAAAATGTAACAAACTTTTCACTGTATCAACGAATTCAGTTATTCCGGCCATCCAATGTACTGTTTATGAGTTGTATTATAAATAAATGTTGGCAGTAGCGTTGAATTAGTGCGCTTTCTCAAGGATATGGATAATTCAGTGCTCTCATACTTATCTACAAGCAAAAGACATTTGGAATTCAATGTGGTGAAAAGATCATTAGTGCCTGCATGAATTTCAAAATATGTTCAGAAAATTTTAAAAATATTCATGTATGAGGCCGCATTTCTTGTAGTCAGTTTTTTGGTCGCTTTTTGCTTTGATTTCAGCCGGTTTCCTACTAATAACATTTTCTAAATTTTGAAAATTATTCATAAAATTTGAAAATGGTTCTGAATTTTAATAGAAGTTCAGAATTGTTTTAAAAATACCCATTTCTGAGGCCTCATTAGGCACGAGGGGATTGCAAACCGCTATTTGATTGGGGACGGGATTGGATTAAATCCCTTCCCATCACTAATCCTTAATCCCCAATAGTTATTTGGAGTAAAACTACACCAACAGTCCTACACTCAGATAGAAGAATCTAAGGATGTCGTGTGGACTGCACGTCCATCATCGTAATAATAAACTCAATACAGGACTAATGCACAAGACAGGCGACATTGTGCAAGAAGATATATAGCACCCAGTTGTGAACTAATGAAGAAATAGTATGGCCAAGTTGGAACTACTCTGCTAGTGTGAACAAGGAAGCGGCAAAGTTACAAAGTTAAATCAAATGGATATGTCACACAAGTAATGCAGAGCATGTTCACAAATTCAGTAATGCAGGGCATGTTCAGAAATTCAGTAGTAGGTAATGCAGAGTAGTCTGCTGTAAACACACTCTACTAGCTACGTGCAATCAGGTAGTACAACACAAACACTTAAATAAATACATGGACGTCGGTACTAACTAGGAAATCATGCATTTGCATGGCACTAATTAGTTCAGTGTCTCCGTCTCATCTCTGTTCCGCGAGGTCATGCAGAATCCACTGCCTATCCTGCAGAATCGGGGCGGCCTGGCTTGGCGAGTTTGCCAGATATCATATTACACAGGTCCAGAATTTGCCATACCCCAGAACAGCAGCTTTCAACAAGGGAAAACCAGCTGCAGAACAAGTCAAGCAGCAAACAGAGCTTGACCGGCTAGAGATCGTCGACATCATTAGAGACCTGAGAAACCAAAAAAAAAGAAAGAATAAGCATGTGTACTGTTTGCAGAAATATAATTGAGCCGACAACTACAGAAGAAACCTGAGAGAAAGGACTCACGATATGGATAGGTCTCAAGGGTGGGACGGTTGGGATGGATGTCCGCTGCATGCCTCAGCACTACATCCGCTTCCTCCTTGCACTTATCCGAAGAGCTGCCTTCCTCACGCCAAAAGTAAACCTTGACTTTCCGGAGGGAAGGGAGGTGCCCCATGCCGACATCCAGCTCACCACTGGCAATGTCCGACGCTGGGGCATCGAACCACAGGATTTCAAGCTGTGGCATAGCTCCTCGTGAAAACATAGATGGCACCGTGAGAAAACCAGAGAAGATGCACTCTCTCAAACATGGGAATGCGTTAGCGCTAACAACAAACATTTCAACACGGGTGTACCAAGATGTGTTGGCCCAAAGCTGGAGAACACGAAGAGCGGGAAACATCCCGAGGATCTGAATGTCGACTTTAGGCTGAACTCTCTCCACATCGATATTTATGAAGGAGAGGAGGGGAAACAATGATGAATTAACCCACCTAGGCAATTTGGTGGTGCATCCACTAAACCAAAGGTACCGAAGCTGTGGGGTGGGCACCCAACCATCCCAACTGACATCAGACCTTGCACACCATACACAACCGAAAATTTTTAGACGCTGCATTTTCTGCAGCTTGCCCAAGGACACCACCAAAGAATTACACATGCTCTCATTCTTCCCATTCCAATAAAGATAGAGCACTCTCAGCTTGACCAGTTGCCCTAGCTCTTTCACATCCACCAATTTTCCAGTCAGCTCTTCTAAGGACGTCAGGTTCCCGATGCCAACGGGTAACACCGCATCTTGTGCATCTAGGAATATCAAACGTTTTAGACGGACAGCACTTGGCGGAATCACTCGTATACCTGATCCATTTTTTGCTAAGTCGAGTGTCTCCAAAAACTGTAGATTTCCTACTTCCACAGGGAGCTCACGAACAAAAGTGCTTCTGAGCCCTAGATACCTTAGGTGTAATAAATTGTCAATATACCTGAGATCAACATCATGGCCATTTCTCCCAAGATCACAACCTTCTAAATCCAATACACGTAAAACTTGAAAGCATGAAATAGTTCTGATTAGATCAATATTTGTTCTAAAAAGAACAACAGACCTCACTTGTGGCATACTTGTGGCATCGACCAGATTGGTGGTGGGCTCTGACATGCTATTTTGAAAAGATAATCTGCGACTCTTGCTATGTGAAATAGATTTGCTTTGTTGTGTACCATCTAATATTGTAGCAAAGTTTTGTTCACTAGACAGGGAACATAACAGATCAAGCACCATATCATGCACGCGACAAGCTTGAGCCTTGCCGGTAGCATCAAAATGTACTGGTTGAATCAAGTTTCTATTTGCGAGCTCATTGAAGTAACTCTCTCCAAGCTCAAATAGTCCAGTTTCTTGTTCTCCACCTTGCACAAAGCCTTCGGCTATCCACATCCATATCAGCCGGTCTCTCCTTATCTCAAAATCCTCTGGAAATATACTGAGATATAATAAACAAGTCTTCAAATGGGAAGGTAAATCGTAATAACTAAAGGACAATATTCTCTGCATGTCCTTTGCACTATCACCTTCTGCAAGTCCACGACCTATAGAGCCAAGTATGTTGTCCCAATGATACTTTGGCTTTATGTGCTGATCTTGACCATTACTAGCTAAAATACTAGCAATAGTGATGATGGCTAGTGGTACTCCACCACATTTCTTTAAGATTTTCCTAGATACCTCCTCCAATTCATCAGGACACTTACTTCCTTGAGGAAATATTCTTTTGTAGAACAATCTTTCGGATTCATCATCAGGAAGTGGTTTCATCTGATATATTATATCATCACCAGAAGAGCAACATACTTTAGAGATACTGCCTATGCGGGTGGTAGTCATCACTCGACTACCGAGGCAGTTGTCAGTAAAAGCACACTTAATAAGTTCCCATGCTTTTTCATCCCATATGTCATCGATTACAATGAGGTACCTGTATTTTTTAGTGCGTTAGTTTGCAAATCAACCAACATAACTAGGTCTATATATGTTCTGCCAAGTCAGCAACAAATTAATTAAGAGACGGTATTGTCAGCTCAAGAAATTTTTAAAGAAAATAAACATATATAGTGCATAATTTGAAGACTCATATAAAACAAAAAAAAGTAAGGCCTAATATCAGCGCCATTTAATAAAACCAGAATAAAACTTACTTGGGACTAAATGTTCACTAACTAGCACAACATGCTCTCCTCGAAAGAATAATGATAATCATTTGCTCCTACATACATACCTCTTGTCCTGAAGAAACATTCTCAGTTCATCGATGAGTTGTTCATTGTCCCTAGCAGCTTCGTTGATGGTTGCATACTTGCTCTTGTCAAGTTCATATAAGATCTTCTTGAAAATCTTGGTCATGTCAGGATTCCGGGACACGGAAACGAAAGCTACACTATCAAACTGCACTTTGATCTTGTCATACACAGCTTTGGCCAGAGTTGTCTTGCCCAGTCCGCCAAATCCAACAATAGACATGGTCCTTAATTGGTCCTTGGACCTCTCATTGCCGTCACACAGCTTCCTGATCAGCTCATCTCTTATGTGATCTATCCCAACAAGCTCTGTGACATCTTTGTACACCGCCTTCAGGCGAGGGTCAATGGCATCACCATTACCTTTGGTGTCCGCGTCACTCATATACTTTTGGCGCAGCTCACCCAACTCCTTGGAGAGCCGCTGAGCTTCTTCAATGTCATTGGAAATCTGATGAAGAGCCTTACCCTTGGTAAACAATTTGGTAGCCCTTTTGAGGAACTTCTTGACTGTGTTCTTCATGTTGGTGGAGCCACGGTCGTTGTCGATGTCGTCCACGCGCACGAGGAAACCGTCGACGGCGTCCTCCATATGGTAGGAGAGGTCCCTCACTTTGCCCGCCCAGATGAGGACCTGCTCGTCGAACTGCTCCGGCGGCTTGGCGCCGATCTTGTGTAGAACGGCGTGCATCATCTCCAACTCGGTGATCAGAGACTCGACGCGCTTCCTCACGCGTTTCTCCAGGTTGTACTCGCCGGCGAGTAGGCCACCGAGCTTCTTGATCAAGGGGATCATGGCGGCCTCCATGGCTTGGACCAGGAGGAGAGGTGTCTTTTCTTGCTGTGGCGGAGGAGTTGGTGGTGGATAAACGGAGGAGACGATGGGTTGATTGATAGAGTTGGAGAAACAGAGGAGACGCTGGGTTGATTGATAAGACTTGGCGGTGCTACTGCTACAGATGGATGGTGCAGCAGTCCATGTAATGTGCGTGAGTGGTCGAGTGACCCCTCCACCTTAAATTGCATAACTGATGTCTTGCTGTAGTGACCTCACGATGTCTTGCAGTGTCGACCCCACGATGTCTGGCATCCGATGCTTTGTTAGAGTTGCCAAGGAGGTAAGATTTGGAGCTCTCTGGTCATGTAAAGCTCTGTTTTCAGTTTTTACACATCGCCATAGTAGAGCTTGAGAAATGGAGGAGACGACGGTGGTGCTGCTTCCAATGATAGAGCTGGAGAAAATGAGCTGCTACAGATGGATGGTGGTATGCAGCAGTCCATGTATGTGCGTGAGTGTCGACCCCTCCACTAATTGCATGATTGATGCCTTGCTGCAGTGAGCCCACGCTGCCTTGCTGCTGTTTTCTGCAGTGACCCTAGAGAATGCTGGCATGGCATCCGATGCTTTGTTAGAGGCGCCAAGGAGATAAGATTTGGAGCGGCCCGTGCTCTCTGGACGGTCATGTAAAGCAGTGTTTTTTATTATGCCGTGATTCTTCTTCACGTTGCGGTGTAACTTGATGATGCGGTGATTTTTCTTCATGGTTCGGTGTGTGTATATGATATGAATTAAACAATTAGGTCAAAAAAATAATCTTGGCGAGTTAACACTAAAGGAAATACCATAAAATTAAACTATACTAAATTATTTAATACTCCCTTCGTCTCAAAATAAGTGTCTTAACCTTACTATGACCTTGTACTAGAGTTAGTACAAAGTTGATACAGTGTGAGTACATGATATGAATTACACTGTGATACAAGATCAATTAACGTATATATTGGTGTAATGAAATTTCAAATCCATCAATCAAGCTAATCATGAGGCACATTTGTAGTTCACAGCAATTTCTAGAAAAAAAGGATTCAATAAAATAAATTAAAAAAACTGAGTTAATGTAAGGCATCAGATGGTATATTTGCACTAACATCATTTTATGTGTGATGAGACCAATTTTTGTATATTTTATGAAAATAATAAAATATGGAAAAACAATTCGATATGAAGTTATTCTACACTTACTACACATAAGAAACTCATTTGTAAAATAGAACTGACAATTAAAAGAAGAAAATTTTGTACTCTTTGCATCCGATGCCAAGGAGAGATTTGGAGCCATCGGTGCAGTGATTTTTCTTCCGAGTTCGGTGTGTGTAATTAAACGATGGCTTGCTACTCTTCTTGAGGCGCCGTACTGGGTCTCCCCGATGATGAACTGTATTTATACCAGTACTAAAAGGAGTTGTACTGGGACTCCACGTCTACAGCATGAAAACTAACCCCGGACTAGAGGGCAGACCATTTACATACATATGTGATGGG